CGCGTAGACTAACTAGACGATGGGTCTGGTTTGGTCGGAGGGCGAGAGCGCTCACCTTATCTTAAATCGCGACGAGCGTCGATCACGATCGACCATACCGCCCGCCTTAAACGGTTGTTTAACAAAAAAATTTTAACATACAGTACATTTAACAAAATAGTAATTTCAATAAATCATAAAATAACAAAATTTTTCAAAATAACATAATATTATACAAAGTAACAAGCATATAATATATTTTATATAAACTTAATTGTAATGTGTAAGTTTACATATTTATTTTTGATCATTTGGAACACAATTACCTTCGAAAGGAAGTGGGCATAGATACCGAATAGCACGACGATATATACCACTGAGAGTCTTTACGGTAGCAACCCTTGGAACACCGTCACCATCTGCATCCACGTGGAGAGCTTGAACAAGGCCCAACTTCCACTGAAGAGGCGGGGCGTTGTCATCCTTCACAAGAACAATGGAACCTATTTTTATCCTTGGACCCTTTTCGATAGACCACCGTTTACGTTCCTGAAGTTGCGTTAAATATTCGCGGTTCCAACGGGACCAGATTTGCTGAGAAACCTGTATGACTCTGCGCCATCTAGTTAATCGATTGGTTGGTATTGATGATACTTCAATTTCGGGTAAAGCGGTTAAAGAGTCGCCAATAAGGAAATGAGCAGGAGTTAAGGGGGCGAGATCTGAAGGATCGGAAGATAAAGGTACCAAAGGTCGTGAATTCAAGCATGCCTCCACTCGTATTAATATAGTATTCAATTCTTCGTATGTAAAGTTTGCGTTGCCTAAAACGCGAAATAAATGATGTTTAATAGATTTTATTGCCGACTCCCATAATCCTCCAAAATGAGGTGAGCGAGGAGTGCCAACGGATACAAGATTCAGATAATACATTCTGAATTTTTGATTGATGTTCTTCGCTATGAATCAAGTTGCTCAACTCTTGAAGTTGACGATTTGCTCCAACAAAGTTTTTTGCATTGTCCGAATAAATATCCGAGCATTTTCCTTTTCGATCAGAAAATCTTCTTAATGCACTTATAAACGATGCACTTGTTAAATCTCCAACCAGTTCAATGTGCACTGCTTTTGTTGCGAAGCAGATAAACACGCAAATATAGCCCTTGCTGAGAGCCGCATTTCGCCTCAAACTTGTTTTGATCATTAAAGGTCCCGCGAAGTCGACACCACAGACCGAAAAAGGACGACTAGGTTCAATTCTTTGCTTGGGTAAGTTTCCCATTATAGGTTGAAATATTGTAGGCTTTAAGCGAAAACATCTTACGCACTTGGACGAAACCTTCCGCGCTATATTTCGACCATTTATGGGCCAAAAACGTTGCCTTACATGTGCCAACATTAGTTGCGGACCACCATGTAATAATACATCATGGGCATCCTGAAATATTAAGTAAACGATTGGACTGTTCGGAGGGACAAGCATTGGATTTTTTTGAAACTGCTCGAGCTGACTTGCATTTTTTAAACGTCCTCCAACTCTGATAATGTTATTTTCGTCCAGATAAGGACGTAAACGAAAAATATTGCTTTTCGGAGAACATTGTCCGTTTTTTCTTAAGTCAGAAATTTCACAAGACCAATTCTTGCTTTGAACAAATCAAATAACGCGATTGATCGCATTATTCAAATCATAGGGCAGCAGAGGACCCGTTTTTTTGTCATCGGGATGAGCAGTGTTATAAATAAAACGTAAACATAAAGATACTACCCGTAAAAGCCGACTCCAAGTTGAATAGCGTGATAAAAATGGTAATTTTGGTTGTTCAGATGTAATCAAACTAATTGTTCGGCGTTCTTCGACTGTGCTGAAGTTGATTGGATTTTTGTTTATATGCGGCCATTTGGATGAATTACATTGAAGCCAATTAGGACCTTCCCACCAAAAACTGTCATTTAAAATCATTTGAGGGTCTCGTCCACGGGAAATAATATCTGCCGGGTTGTCTTTGGTATCCACGTGCGCCCATTCGAATATGGATGTTATTTCTTGAATTTCCCCAACTCTATGAGCGACAAATGTCTTCCACTGCGCCGATGGTGAAGAGATCCAAGCAAGAACTATTGAAGAGTCCGTCCAGAATGTCCTTTGACTGATGTTCATTTTTAATTTTGCAATTATTTTGTCAGCTAAACGTGCCAAAAGGACAGCTCCACATAATTCTAGACGTGGTAACGAAATCGATTTTAGAGGTGCTACGCGTGATTTAGCACAAATTAGACGTGAGCAACGCTTGCCTTGATTATTTGTTGTTATAAGATACAAACAAGCGCCAAACGCTTCAATCGACGCATCTGAAAATCCATGTATTTGGACATCTATAATTTCTCCAATAATTACGATACATCTTGGTATAGATAAATTATTTAATAATAATAGACTTTCACGAAATTTGTACCAATCTAACATTGTCTCCTCTGGCAATGTTTCATCCCATCCGATGCCCATCGCCCACAAACGTTGCATTTTTATTTTGGCTTTAATAACAACAAGGCTAATTAGACCCAGCGGGTCAAATATAGTAGCTATTTCCGTTAGTATTTGACGTTTGGTAACGATAGTTTTTCTTTCCGAAAGTTTCACTTCATACTTGAAAACGTCACCTGACGGATCCCATCGAAGACCTAAAATTTTGGCTGAATTTTCGGATAAGTCCAAGATTAATGTCGGATCATTTTCTTTATTTGCAAGACCGGTAAGAAGTTCGGGATCACTGGCTGTCCATTTTCTAAGATCGAATCCACCCTTTAGTAACACTCCTATGATATTGTCACGCAATGTTATTGCCTCTTGCAGAGAATCGGCACCGCCAAGGTTATCGTCCATGTAAAAATCTTGTTTAATTGCATTGCAAGCGTCAGGATACGAATTTGATTCTTCATCTGCCAAACGATGTAGGCACGCGGTTGCAAGAAACGATGCAGGAACTGTGCCATACGTTATTGTATTTAACTGGAATTGTTGCAATTCTTGATCGGGATCCGGTCTCCAAACTATTTGTTGATAGGTTCTGTGATTTGGAGCGACCCATATTCGGCGGTACATCTTGGAGATGTCAGCGGTCATTGCATATCTATGCTTACGAAAACGAGTTAATAAATTTATAAGATCTTCTTGAATGCAGGGACCCTTTAGCAAGACGTCATTTAAACTGACTCCCGATGTAGTCTTGCATGATGCATCGAATACCACTCTTAATTTAGTAGTTACGCTGTCCTCTCTCCAAACTGCGTGATGTGGTAAATAATAATTCTCTTTTATGTTTGAACATTGCTTAACTCTAGTCATATGTTCCAAATCTTCATATTCTTTCATAAATTTCGAATACTCGATTTTGAGCCGAGGGCTGGATAATAATCGTTTCTCAATAGCGTGGAAACGTCGCGTAGCTGTTGGCTTCGAATCACCTAATTTTTTCATCTTGTCTCGAAATGGTTGCTGAACAACAAACCTGCCTTGTTCATCTCGCTGTACCGTATTTTCAAAATGTTCACGGCATGCCTTTTCTTCCAATGTGAACGCTGTTTTTGAACCAACTTCTTCTGTGTGCCAAAATTTTGAAACTTGTTCTTCGAGCTTCGATAAACTTGTGCATAACGCGACGGTTGATGCTTTATTGATATCTTCACGAGCTTGTGTTGACCCAGCTACAATCCAACCCAGTTATGTTTCTTGCATAATTAAATTGGACTGAGGAAGCTTAAACTGATTTGTACGTAATAAACCATAAAATACTTCCGAACCTAAAATAGCGTCGATTCTTTGTGGCTCACTATAAGACGGATCAGCCAATTTAAATTCAGACGGGATTTGAAATCTGGATACGTCGATTTTTGATAGCGGAATATTTCCAGTTAAGCGCGGTAATATGTAAAAATCGATATTTACCTTGTAGTTGGACACACGCGATTCGATATTAGCCGATGTCATATACGATGCATTATGGGCTGATTCGTTTATACCGATTATTGTACATGATACGCGTGTTTTGTTTAATCTTAACGTTTGAGATATAGATTCGGACATAAAATTACTTTGGGATCCTGAGTCTAGCAATACACGACATGCTGTCGATTCCCCGCGCGCGTTCCTCATGATTACGACCGCGGTTGATAATAACATTTGTTTATTTGAGCTTTGTTGGGACGAATGAGCACTAATAGATTCGAGATTGGACACATTTTTCTCCTTTGATTCGTTCGCTGCAGTGCTTGTTATTAGGGATGCCGTTGCATTTTCGGAACCGCCCGCCATGCTCGATTTAGACTTGGGTAGATGTAACAAACTGTTATGCGCTTTCATGCATTTGGCACATCGCCGCGAAGTACATTTTTCCCCGATGTGACTTCGAAGACAGATTTTACAAAGCTTTAGTTCACTTATTCGTTTTATGCGATCGGATATTGAAAACGCTAATAGGGCTGGACATTTATAAATAGTATGTGCGCCGTCACAGTTATAGCATTTCAAAGTTCCCGTAACGATAAATGAGGACGATTGATCACTTGATTTTTTAAACTTGAAGCTATTTTTTTGAGATTGACGCTGCTGAGGCTGTACTATTTTTAGTCCTCCCGACGCCTCTATGGCTTCTAGTATTTGACACCGATTTTCTAAATATTCTAGTAATTTATTTACCGATGCTACTTCCGACTTCGATGATTCTATTTCCCACTGTCTTAATGTGCTCGCGTCCAGTTTTATAGAAATAAGATGTAAAAGTAGTGATCCCCATTCCTTTGGATTTTGGCCTAACGACGCGAGAGCCTTAATATGACCGTTAATCGCATCGACGAGCTTACGCAACTCAGTTGACGATTCGTTATTTATATTTTCTAAATCAAATAACTTTTTCGTATGAAGTTGTACAGCGAGTTTTTTATTACTGTACCGCGAAATTAGAGCGTCCCACGCGATTTTATAATTATCTGACGTAGTATCTAAGAAATGAATAGTTTTTTGTGCGTCACCAGATACTGACGAACGTAAATAAAAGAATTTTTGTATATCAGTGAGAGAAGAATTTTGATGTACTAACGCGCAAAATATGTCGTGAAAAGCTGACCATTCGGAATAAATGCCAGTGAAATTTGGTATTTCTAGGGGAGCTAATTTGACCATCGGCTTAAATTTCGACATACTAGCCAAAACGGTACTTGCTTCCGAACTGTCATTCATTTCACTACTTTCAATTTTTTTTTACTATCATTATTCAACGATTTTTTGGTATGATTGATAATTAAATTTTCGCAACCGGCGACACTTTCAAAATATAAGTCTTCAAAACTAGCTCTATATTTTTCGGTTTCCTCATTAGCACCAATCTCTTCTATAGAAGTTTGGATTGTTTCGAAATCTTGCCAAACTTCATTTATTTTTTCTTTTCTCAATTTTAATTGTGTAACGTCTATATCTTCTGTTGCTTGAGCGGCTTGAACGAAGTTACTGAAACGAGTCAGTTGGCCTTTAAGTAGCCCCCTTCGAGACAACAGAGTACTTATTTCGGACATTTTACGAATAATTTGAACAACGTTACGAGTGAAGGCAGCCCTACCTACGACGCTAAGAGCTATAAAGGAAAATCGTACAAGAATAAATAAAGAAACTACTGGCGACTAACCTGTATGCTGTTTTCCTGGACTGTGCACGCCAACCACTCTTCTGCTGCATCGACACTCCGTACTCGTACTGAGATTGGTATTATAAAATTACACGAATTTATAATTTTGAATAAATACATTACCGCACAACGTTTACACGAACGTAAACAATAGTTATCACTATAATATTATTTACGTCGGACTACGGAAACGAAACGATAAGACGATGATAAGCACTACGCGTGCACGAACGGTTTATTTTCACGATATTTGAAATATAACACCGGACAATAGAAACGAAACGACAGTAGAAACACTAATGTACTGTTCAGGCCTGCGACGAAGATAAACGACGGACGACGACAATCGAGTCGTAAAAGAATAATAACGATTATTCGTATTATAATCCGCGCGTGCGGTCGCGATCGAAAAGAATATAGGTACCTATATAAATAAAGCGATTTACTAAATGACGCGACGATTTGACGATATATCTTATAACCGCGATAACACGCGCAGTCGAAACGCACACACTTGATGGTGACCGCGTAAAAACCCGAAGGTCACACGAATACTGCCGTGAATATTTGAACACTCACGAAAACGAAATTAAACAAATGCGAAAAATGCGTATTTTTTATACGAATGGACGATATTTGGTATTCGCTATCGCACTAAATAGACGAATACTCGAATAAGCTTAAGAAAGTTAGATCATAAACGATTTATATGAGCCCACGCACTACGGTCTACGCGTCTACGGTAATAATACAAACAATACGAACAACACTAACGATATCCGGCTCGAAGGACCATGTTACGATTAGGACTGTATAACATAAATGAAAACATTAAGTTTTCTTATATAAATGATTTTTTGTTTTATTTCACATGAATAATTATTTTTATTTAAAGAGGCTTAATGGCCGATTACGTGCTTCGGACGACAGCGACGCGTAGACTAACTAGACGATGGGTCTGGTTTGGTCGGAGGGCGAGAGCGCTCACCTTATCTTAAATCGCGACGAGCGTCGATCACGATCGACCAATACCCAAAGTCTATGTACACTTAATAATATTATATACACCTATAGTGTACAAATAATACAATTTACTGGGTTTCTAAAAATAAACACAACACCGGATTATTCACTGATAACATAGGTACTGATAAGATAATTCCGTTACACGGACACGTAGTTTTACTTATAATATTATTATTTTTTTATTATAATAAAATAATACATAAAATGTTTTGTCATTACCTTTTCAAAATGTTATTCTATATCTTTTTAGGCAAATATAACAATGGTCAAAAATTGTACTATTTGTGGAAACGTCGATGGTGTGGATTACGTTTCAATGCATGTGTAATTAGTGCATTCAGATAATTTATTATACGATTACTTTTGAGATTCAAATACATAATAATTCATATTACGATGGTTGCATTAGATTTCCAGCAAACGTCAATGTGAAACGTCAATGGGTAATGTTCGTCGAGAACAATGGTATCGATGCTCGACATATATTGGCTTCCTCCAAGCTCTGTTCGAGGCATTTTGTTGCCGGTCGTGATTAACACGGAGCAGTTGTACATCGCCGTCGACTAACTCTTGGAGCAGTGCCGTCAGTAGTGAGTAACAACCAACATAAAACCTTTGATTACTGTATTAAACAAATAGTGTCATGCTGCACTTACCACGTCAGATCCACTCACTAACTACTGTGGGCATTAAAATATCACATATTATTATGTGTTTATTTATATTATTAAAAATCCGTACATGCACTGTGCTCTTAGATACATATTAGATACATATGTTTCTGTACTTGACAGACTACTAACATTCTTCAAAACTAAATGTCTATTTTAATAAAGTAAATTGTAGAATAACTTGAACGACATTCTATTGTGTTACCGCTGTTTCAAATTTCAATTGCATATCAAACACTGACTAATACTACTAATATATAAACTTTTACCTACTATGGGTATATTGACCTAAACAGAACACTTACACAGTTCTCAATATTACTACTATTACTACTACTACTACTACTACTACTACTGCTACTGCTGCTGCCACTACTACTACTTACTTAGTACCTAGGTCTAATCTCCTTCATTTGTAAGTTGTGTACTACATAGGTATTTTATCATTTCACAGGTTTCCAATGGCAATAAGTAGATAGTGTCTAATCTAATCTATCTATCTTCTAAATCTATCTTCTATCTATCTTCTAATCCTTATACTATAAATCTAAACTATATACAGCGTGAACCCGAGGGCGCAGCCTATGCATTAAATTTATCAACTTTCACTAAATTGACCTATGTCACTACTACACACTAACTCACTAACTTTGTTTGTACTACAGTGTAACATATTAACTACTGATTTGTGTTATTTGATACATAGTGGTGATCAATTTTATTAGTGTAACATAAGCCTTACATTCAACTTATCATACAATAATTTCATATAAATGTTCTTATTGCATATGAGTACCCAAACTCACTGTTATAAAGTGCAATACATTTTTAAAATGTAAGTCATTGTTGTTATTGTTACGATAATACCTAACCCACACAAAATTATATTAAATATGTATGAACAACGGGCGGTCATTAAAAGTTTTTCTTTTTATTGTTTTAAGTCAAAATTCTCTACACTCTTTTTTACTACTACTACTTACTACTGATCTAGGTCATTTGTAAGTTCATATGTAAGTTGTATTTGTAAGTTCATATGTTCATATGTATCATATTATGATTTCACTATAACACTTACTGTTATATAGTGCAATACGTTTTTTACAATATTTCAAATTTATTGTTGTTAGAAAGATTATAAATATGTATAAATGCTCAACCAATTAAACATTCTTCTGCGAATTTCTTTGTATTTTGATTGGTACTTGATTTTAAAGTTAAAATTTATTTATTTAATAACTATAACAAAAGTCAGTATACATATTTTATTATCTCGACAATAAACCTGATTACTAAAGTGACATTTTTAGATTATTCTACGACAGGAAGGTACTTATACTATGTCATTGTTATTGTAAAAGATTGTATTACTGAATGCGGTCAGTGTATGTTCATTATTAAGTACACACCACCGAGTATTAATAACGAAATAAGGTTTTTTAGTGTTATTACAACTTCGCTTACAAATTATGAGCGATATTGTCTTTACATTGTGTGTACATTTATACTTAATACAATCTATACTACCCCATGCTTAATTCATACTGACATATATTTTTAAGACCAAAAATTATGATAATTGCATTTGACTTGACTATTAAAACTGTTCTATTGTTATTTAATAATTTGAAATTAACCTAACCTGTACATTCAATTTTACAATTCCAATAACTGTTAATTATACTACTTGAACTATTATTATTAAATATTTATTATAACCTATTCATTGCCTTAAATTAATATTTTGATTTACTTTCACTTACAAACAAATGTTTGATACCTATATGTGTACATGTCTCTCTACACAACACTACTAATTCACTTATTTGACTTAACTGTTTATAATTGTATATATCTGTTCATCACTGCTCAAAGTAACTCAAAGTCCTGTGTTTTAACAACAGTTTCAGTTATTATTCATTTTTATATTGTTCAAATTTTGGAATAGTTACCACTTACTTTATTATTATTCGTTATTATAAACTATTATGGGTAAAGTATGTTTACTTAAAAATATTCATAATTAACGAAACATAAAGTGGTATACTTAAATAAGTTGTATTACATTCAGCAATAAAAACTTATATAGGTAAATAATAATATAATAATATAAATTAAATATAAAATAAAAAGATATAAAAATATTAGAACTATGAAGTAACGCTAAAACATTATCACTCTGTCATTAATACAATTAATTAATTGATAAATACATATGTGATTTAAAATTGAATTACACTAACCGCCTATTAATTTATAGGTAGTCGGACGGCAACTGGTGCCAGGCGTGGCTGAAGAGCCTGAAGGTGGAGACCCCGTTGAACCTAACCTTGTGGACGAAAACGCCATGATGGACGACCGCATCATTGAAGTTGCGATGGAAGACGGCGTTATGTACGAAGACAATGTGGAAATTGTCGATGTGGAAAACATGGAAGTCGTGATGGAAGACGAAGACAATGTGGACCACGTCATTGAAGTTGTGATGGAAGACGGCGTTATGGACGAAGACAATGTGGAAATTGTCGACGTGGAGAACATGGAAGTCCAGATGGACGACGAAGTTTTGCCGGCGGACGTCGAGATAGTCGATGTCCTGCCCGGTGAACTCGAGTTCATGGACATTTTCGATGACTTCAACCCTGAAGTTGCTGTTGAACTACCAAGGGTTCGTGCGCCACAAGTAGACAGGCCAGCCGGCGTTCAACACCCACTTCCGGATCGGCACGACATTGGGCCATTGAATCAAGTCTGCGGGCACTGTGAAGCCCGTCACTTAAACTGTGAACGCACTTCGAGGGGTCATACATTGTGTTGCAACAACAATCAGATGGTGATTCCTGAAGAACCCCGTCGGTTGC